GGGGCGGGTGGATGCTCAGGGGGGGCCCAGATGCGCTACGCAGGGCTAGACGGGCCAGATTTCCGTTGCTTTCATAGACACAAAGGTGGGACTATCGGGGGAATGTGCTGACGGGCAGAATCGCCCAGGCGCCCTCTTTTCCCCAGGGTTTGCCGTGCGCAGAGGGTGACCCGACCCCCGCCGGCCGTGGGACAATCGCTGGTGCTGGAGGGCCTGTTATCGCAGTTCAGATGCGCTACGCAGGGCTAGACGGGCCAGATTTCCGTTGCTTTCATAGACACAAAGGTGGGACTATCGGGGGAATGTGCTGACGGGCAGAATCGCCCAGGCGCCCTCTTTTCCCCAGGGTTTGCCGTGCGCAGAGGGTGACCCGACCCCCGCCGGCCGTGGGACAATCGCTGGTGCTGGAGGGCCTGTTATCGCAGTTTGTTATTTCAGGTTCCTGCTCACCAAAGAGATTGTGTTCAGTCCTCTGGGAGGTTTGTGCTGTATCAGCACCGCGGGACCTCACAGAAGAGAGGTCCCTCTGAGACAGACCCACAACGCGCCCCCACCCCCGTTGTGCACACCCAAAGAGTTGCAAATCTTGCAGCCCAGCCCCAAACGCCGGCTGTTCACGAGGGTCCCGTGGCCTTCCTTTGTCCACAGCCCCTTGCTTTCCGCTATAGAGAGAGGAAAAGTGACTTTTGACAATAGCAAATCCCAGAATCTCCTGGCCAGCAGGATGAGGCTCGTTCCCACCCAGGAGAGTCGCTGTTTTGTCAGGGTGTGGGTGGTTTTTGTGTTGAGGTTCCAGCTGACGTCTCCAAGCCGTCCGAGGCAAGACCACTTCCTGGCTTTTTGCACCTCACCAAGTTCTTGGTTTTGGTTTTTGTTTTTTGGCTCCTTTGCTGGGCCCCCAAAACATGCTTGATGGCTGAAGGGGGGACCCAGGGAGGGCGGCGAGTCCGGGCCTGGAGAGCCGCTTCTCCTCCTGCCTCAGGGAGGGAAAGGGAGGAACTCGGCCGCGGTCACCCAGGCAGGCAGAACCTGGGACTGGGCCCGGCATTCGAGGCAGGCTGGAGAGCCCCTCGTTAAGCCCCCTAAGCTCTTTACGAAGAATTAAATCTCCACTCCATGTTAAGCTGTCAAGGGCCGGGTCAGGCAGTGGCAACACAGCGAGACTCGGAACGAAATTGATAGAATTAGGGGCCCGCCTGGTCATTTAAGAATGTGAACACTTTGAGAGGGCTTTAATCAGAGCTGAGGTGGGTGTCGGTGTGCGTATGCATGCGTGCCTCCGAGGGGCTTTGAAGCAATCGGCCACCTCCCCAGAAAAGGTCAACCTAGAGACCTCCTGCTACCCACAGGTAACGTGTTGCTGCCCTAACCATGGAATTACTGCACCCTGCGAGCTGTGAAGGGTGGCTCTGTTTCCATGCTAGTGGGCAGAATCGCTGACCCAGAAAAGGGGGACGCAGATTTAAAGTGACTGGAGGAGAAGGCTGCTGACTTTTCCCACACTGCCGCCCATCGCCCCACAGCTGCCTTTCCCCATTGCTGTGGCCTGCTGAGCCTCTTCCATTTTCCCAGGCTTGAGCTCCTCCCTCGATGGGTCCTGCCAGCCGTGGGGGGAGTCTTTCCTCCCGACTCACTTCTCCAGGCCAGGTTTGCTTAGCTTCAAGAAGCTTCCTTTTGACTTACAGCTCCCAGAATCCCCCAGCAGGCAGTCCCAGAACTGGTGGGTTGCCTTTTCTAGGCAAAGGGTGGGTGGATTGTGCGTGGGGGTGGCCCCAGTAGCCGGATGTGCTCAGGCCACGTGGCTGGCGGGAGGAAATGCTTCTCAAGCCACAAGCACAGGCTCCCATGAGGAATATCGAAGCCCCATCAGGTCCAGGTCCTTTACCTGCAGCCGAGGGCAAAGTAGAGAGCAGGATTTCCAACACGTGTGTGTGCGTGCACACACATACAGAGCACACTTTTTATTCTTTAAAGCTGTCGTCATCCTAGCCTGGGCCATCTGTGCAGCTTCTACAGGGAGCACAATTGTGGGAATGGTGCACTTCTGCTTAGACTGTGCATGGTTTTGTGTGAGAACTGGCTGTGTTCGTGCAAGGCCTCTTTTGTGCCATTGCATGGGTTCTGCTGAGGACGCCAGGAAGAGGACCCCCCTTGTCAGGGCAAGGCATCAAGGAAAAGGAGGGCACGGGTCCTTCCGCTTCCTGCTTCCTCCTCGAAAAGGGCAAGGCGAGCGAGCGAGGACTCGCCTCCTCTGGTGCTGATGCAACCTTGGCCAGGATGTGGCCAGACGCCACCTCCTGCAATGAAGAGGGATCTCCGCCAGGGGTCAGCAGGGAGGCCTTCGCTGGAGACTGCCCGAGAGTGGCAAAGCCTGTTCTCTCTCTCTCTCTCTCTCTCTCTCTCTCTCTTTCACACTCGCACACATGCACAAAATCCAGCACACCCCTCGCATCATTTTCTCTGTGCATTTCCTGCTTCATCGGGACGTGATGGTGCAAGAGCCACGGCAGGGTTGCATCATTGGGGGGGGTAGAAGGAGGGGGAGCCATTTTTGCTTATGTCTTAATTGTGCTCACAATCTCTTGGACAAAAGGCCTTGCGAAAAAAGGAGGGAGCAAATTCCTGTATCTAAATGTGCCCCCTTCTCCCCCCCTCCCCCCAGGCTTGTTCTGTCTGGTCTGGCCTTCCCTGGGAAGCCCTCCTTTTGTTAATCCTCTGTTTATTTTTGGCATGTTCTGAGCCCAAGCGCAATCCATGTCCTTCTCTGAATAGGCAGCCCAGCCTAAGAGACCCTGACTCAGACCGGGGGGGGGGATGTGTGGCAAGAGGAGGGGGGTCCAGCCCTGCAGTCTGGCCACTGGCCACGGAGCAGAGAGATTCTTGTAAGCAAATGTTTTATGCGGTCATCGAGACATCGCTTAATTGTAGTGCAACAAGGAGTCACTTTTGTAGCATGAATGCACCTCGTTGTTTTTCACATCACAAAGGGAATATCCCCACTTTGGTGGGTGTGTTTGTGCCCAAGGCCAATGGTTTCAAGCAGTCACACCTGTTTTCAAAAGAGTAACTAGAAGGAGCCATTTTGGTTGTGGCAAACTAAATGCAGTTAATAGGTAATACAGAGTTACCTACCCACCTGTTTTTCAGCCCTGGAGCTGTAACTCTATGTAAGTAGTTTGTTAAAGTAATGTTCCAGTTTCTGAGCAGATCTGTTCATGCTGACCATTGAAGCATCTCAGAGTGTGGAAAACGTACTTCTTTTGGACAGCCAGAATCCACCAGTCGGTTGTAGTCCAAAAAGGTAACTTTTCAAAGCATGGCCCTCTATGTATCCTTGTTGGGTCATGGGTTTGATGTGAAGCCAGGTTGGTGAACAAGCTTGCTTCCGTGGCCTCTGCGTGGCCCGAAAGGGTTTGTGATATGAGACCTTCGTACTGAACCTTCTCCGGGTGGGACTGCCGTGGCATTCCCGCTGTGATGCCAGCGTTTGTGGCCGCTTATCCTTTGTGTTTTCAGGAACTGCTGTGGGGAGAGCCAAGTCCTGTGTGGACTGGACCCTACAGTGGAAGGGGCTCCTTGGCTGGCTTGACTTCTCCAGGCTGGTCCTGGTTGCCCGAGGGCTCCTTGGGTGACTCTCGCCGCTCTGGCCGCGGGTCCTCGGTCACGCACTGAAATACTGCCCTCCTGGTTGGCCCCGGGATGCTCTGCACACTCCCTTCTCCCATTAATCCTCAATGGGAGGAGCCCAAGAGGCCGAAGCCCCTCGCGGAGGGGAGCGGGAGAGAAAAGGGGCGCAAGAATGGGTGGAATCTTTCTCTGAAAACGAGGCCCCTTTTCTTGAAGGAGCGAAATGGCAGGCAAACAGTTTTATGGTGCCAGATTTAAATGTTGGTAGAGTGGCCAGCCTTAAAAAAAGCCCCCAAAAAACTATTGCAGGCTGGACTGGAAACCTGACCCCCAAATGTCTTTGCATGGGTACCTTGGAGGGGACAGTTTTTAGAAAAGGTTGCCTTCCAAAGGCAAAACCAAGAGGAAAAAAAAATAAAGAAGACCAGGAGGTGGTGGTGACACCTGAAAGATGACCTGCTCTGTCTTCACAGGAGCTTCCGTGGACAAGTCCACTTCCTCAGACATAAGTGGGACCACTTCTTGGAAAGAGGGGCTACTGTGGGGGGTGCACGTGTGGGTGTGTGGATTTGTCAGGCAGATGCTAAACATGTTTGGCATTTCAGAACATGAGAGGCTGTGGCTAAAGAAGCCTTCGGCTTTCTGTGGGGCCCGACATCATGTCGCTAGGAGTGTCCGGAATGTGGCCCCTACTTAGAGGAGGCTTAAATGGACTGCCTTTTAGGACAAAAACATTTTATTTTCTTGGAAGTGAAAAGATGAGGAGGCTTGAGCTCCTAGCAAGACATTCAGTGCTGATTTGGGCTGAATGTATGTCGTGGGTTTGTGCTGAGCTAGAGAGAGGGAAGGAGAAAGAGCCCTGAACTAAGTCCAAGAAGCCCCTACAGCCTCCTTCCTGGCGTTCACAGAGTCCACCTCCCTGCGGAGAGCAGGACTTCAGGTCCCGTGCAGACATCCTGTGGGGCTCAGGCCTTACGGGGAAGCCCCGTGATGAAGGTGGCCTCCCTCTGCTCCCACCAGCTCCGTCTGCACATGAGAGGGAGCTGGTGGGCACCTATCCAACCATGCCAGGATAAGGGAGTGGCAGCAGTGGGAGGAGGGCCCCCCATGCCATAAAACTTCTCCTGATCCTCATTGGCATCATGATGCGCTCTGAAGTTTTCCCAAGACCCTCATTGGACCAAGGCTAGGAGATGCTAGGGCCGGGCTCTGGCGCACCTTTCCCAGGCGCATCTCCGCAGGCATAAGAATCCGGGCCCAAGCACGGCAGCTGCTGCATCCTGCCGGGCAAGTGGAGGCTCGGGAACGCATTAAGCAAACCCTTCCATTATCCCTGGAGGTGGGGGGCAGGGGGTACAGGGAGAGATGTAGGAATAAAGGGTGGCGGCGGTGGCCCCTTATCGGAAATCTCTGCCAGCCAGCCAGTCACACACAGGCCTCCACAAACACACACCCTGCCAAGTGCTTTGCACTCAGGCCGATGTGGGCAGGCGGCACGTCAAGACGTGAGAAGGGGCTTCAGGGCAAACCGCAAAGAAGGCAGGGAGCCCCTCCCGGAGCCCCTCAGCCCTCTGCAGGTGGAGGGGGGGCCTTGAGGTGAGGCTGTCAGAGGAGGGGCGGGCCACCCTCGGCCAGGCAGCGCCGGAAAGGCGGCTCTGCACCCAGGCTCACGGAAACCAGAGCAATAACTGGGAACCGGAGGGAGGGGGGAAAATCAAACCCACATGCGCCCCACCTCGCCCCCAAGGCTGGGATGGCGGGGTAAGAGTTTGGAGGCCTGGCCCAGAAAAAGCTGCCTGGTGATCCGTGGCGGCTTGTTCTGTCTCGCCTCCTCTCCTCTCGTGGGTGAAGCCAAAGGAGAACATTTACTTCCCTTCCCTGGCCCCCTTCTGCTCCTCCAGCAGAGAGCCTCCCTTCCAGACTCCTGCAACCTTTTCAGGGAAGTCCCTGAACATAGTGCCCCCCCCTCTGCCAGCTTGGGCAAGATCTCCCCCCCCCCGCTCTCCCCCTGGCACCCTTCCTGACTGGTGTGCCAGGGCGTTTTCTAGTTGCTGCTGGAGATGCTGTCAGTGGGGAACGGACCCCGCTGGGACCTTTCTGGGCGCAGCTGCTGAGACCCTCTCTGGTGTCCTCGGTCATTCCCTCCCCAAGTGGTTTTCGAAAGAGACAGCAGGAGCGGGAACTGGGCCCGAGTGTTGGGATACTCACAGGTGCCTTCCGTGGAGGGGGCGATGGGTGTGTGTGTGTGTGGGGGGGTTGGGATCTGATGGGACCCTCCATAGGCCATGCAGGAGCAGAGCTCTGCAGCCGCAGCCCCTCCGTCAGCCGCCACCAGCTGCATTGGCATGCTGGGCACAGAGAAGAGGTTTGCTCCCCCCCCCCAAAAAGTCCATGGGGCTTGAATGCTGGGGGGCAGAGGAGGAGTGGGGCCCTTTGTCTCTCTTCCACCGGCCAGCTCGGCTCCCCGTTTCCCTCCCTGGCTCACCATTCCTTGTGGTCTGAGGCAGCCGCCGGGGTGGTGCCTCCACCAAGGGCTGGTTTTGTCTGCCTTTAAGCACAATAGAGGGTTTACATTTTCATTATTTTCATTAGGGTTATTTTATTCTGAAAGTGAGGTGGTCATGCGTACCTTTCTTTGCGTGTTGCAGCCCATTTCCTCTGGAGCGGTTTTGGGGTGAAGGAGGAGGAGGAGGAGGAGGACTTGGAGCAGGCAGGATGGATGGATGGTCCCTGGTCAAGTCATTTAGCATTTATCCAGTAGCCCTTATGCTCTGTATCAAACTATATATTAAATAGTTGCCCCCCCCCTCAGGCCCTGCCTTACAGGCTCCAAGTAGATTAGCTGGTAAAGCTTCCTAATGACCTGAACATCATACAGGAACTGAGAGAGTAAAAGAAGGGGAAAGAGTGAACGAAGATTGTCAGTTATTCCATTGGGAAGTCGTCTGAAATGAGCATGAATTGACTTGTTTCCTTGAAGACCATCCACCCCAGCAGGGATTGTGGGCAGAAGGGCTCTGGGCCAGATGGAAGTAGAGTTTGGAGCAGTTACCTTTTGGAAACAACAGTTCCCATCATCCACTAGCTACTCCATCACTTTTTACAGCTCTGGGGCAGGCGGGAGCCAAGAGGTTGATGGCGATATTAGGAGTCCCGGGAGGCCAGGAAAGAAAGAAAGACTCCTTAAACCTTTGTCGATGATGATGATGATGATGATGCCTGTGCTACGTGGTGTCCACAGGGGGTGGGGGTGGCTGGGAGTACAGGACAAAAGGCTAACAATAATCCACAGGGGGAGGGAGGAAATGCCTCCTGGGCCCACTTCTGGTTCTTGTTTTTTGGCAGATAAGATTTTTATAGCAGTCCAAAATCTCTTTTATCTCCGACATTTGTGCTTTTCTTGGCTGCCCAAGAAAGGGGTTGTTTGTGATGATGGCGGAGGCCATTAATTGAGCTGTGCGTGGGTTGCACAATGAGCAGGTGGGAGCAAAAGGGGGCTCCCTCCCTCCCTCCCTCCCCCCATTCCTGGGACTCAAGTGGGGCAGGCTGAAGCTTGGAGGTGCTTTTTCCAAAATGCCACCACTTTCTCCTGATCTCGGATCGGACCCTCTTTAGGGCAGGAGGGCCTTTGGAGGGGGAACAAAGGACCAAAGCAATGCTGCAGGACCACAGGTTTTCGGACAATGGGCTGTGTATGCCTGCGCCATGCTTTGGTCTTCAGGAAGGGGAGGGGTGGGAAGCCCACATGCTGGGACACGCTAGCTCTCCAGTGGCTTCCACGTCGTCTTGCTGACGGTGTGGTTTCAAGGGCCACACGCATCACAACCAGCCCAGCTACGTCGGGATGGTTTGCCTTAACCCACATTTTACACCATCTTTGACCGATGAAGAACTCGAGAGAACAGGAAAAGGCACCTGAAGATGCCCGTGGCCACAGAGAGACGGGCGAAACGTTAGGAAGAACAACCTTCAGAACAAAGAGCCAAAGAGCCCGGAAAACCCACAAGGACCATCAGATCCTGGCCATGAAAGCCTTCGCAAATACAAAGGCATCTTTCTTTAACTTTTTAATAGTCCACCCAAGGCCTTACCCAACCTAGATCTTCATTTCTAGGGTTTTTTTTTTAAACTACTACTAATCCCACAATTCCCTGTGGCTCTTTGGACTGGAGGATTCTGGGGCTGGTGGCCCTGGCTGGGGAATTCTGGGAAGTGCAGTCTGGAGAAGCCACATCCCCAAACTCAGCGGTCATCTGCCGGGATGCCCACTCTCTTCTCTTGCTATTCCATTCAGTACCCATCTCGGGTTATAGGGTGTGGAGGGTAAAGGAACGCAAAAGGGGCTGCAGATAATCCAGAGGTCTAGCGGTGTGGCGTTCTCAGATCACGCAGCGCGTCATCCCACGGCCATCGTTCTAGCCAAGGGAGCTGCCAGGTCAGGTGCGTTGCAATTGCTTGCCCACCCGCCCCCTGGCATTTCCAGCCCAGACCAACTGGAGGTGTGTGTGTGTGTGTGTGTGTGTGTGTGTGTCTGCCATCCTTTGACAGCGAGGGTCATCCGTCTTCTACATGTGCACGGGCATTTCTTCCCAGGATGCTTCCTGGGCCCTCCCTGGCATTTTTACCTCTGCAGCCACACAGAGGGGAACCAAGGCAGCTAGCTGTGTGACCGGAAGGCAAGAAAGGACACAGAGAAGCAGAGGCAGAGGTAGGTAGGTAGGTGTGTGTGTGTGTGCGTGTGCATCCCCTCCCCCTGTCAACTCCCTTCCCTCGCAGCTTCAATGACCGGGCGCGCACACCCAGAGAGAGGTACAGGCTTTTGAACAAGACTCTCATTTGTCTTGGCAGGTGCGGCCTAAGAAAAGCAATTAGAGAGTAAATCCAGGATTTGGGAAACGGCAGCATTAGTTTGATTTGTGAAAGTGCTGAAAGAAGAGGCCAAACCACCTGCAACTGCCGGCCCCACCTCTCCCCCCCCCAGCCTCTCCATCCCGACCTCCACCCGGCTCCACCCTCTGGCAGGGCCCGAGTGGTGTTACTGGGAGGCAGGGTCGATCCTCTGGCCTGCTCCTCTCTCTCCCTGCGCCCGAGATGGGAAGGCTTCCTCGTTGGCCGCAGTGTCACCCCAAAACCTTCGCCGGTTACAGGCCGTGGTGTTACAGCCTGGGCTCAAAGAACAAGAA